ATATTTAGCTTATATACCAGACGATGTCATCCCCCCCCCCTTCCTCTATTCTCTCTTTCTCTCTTTTCCCCTCTTTTTTGCGTCTTCCCTCATTGCTCATTTCTTTCTTCCTCCTACTTATCTTTTCTCCTACCCCTCTTTTTCCCTCCCTCCCCCCCATTTCTCTTCCCCTCCCCTATTCCTCATCCCCTCCCCTATTCCTCTTCACCCATCCCCCATTCCTCATCTCCCCTCCCCCATTCCTCATCTCCCCTCCCCCATTCCTCTTCTCCCCTCCCCCCATTCCTCATACTTGGTGCGGGTCTGTCAGCCAGATCTCGTTACTGCTCATTAGGCGTGATTACGAGCCCTCTCCGTCCGCCTCTTTGGCCCTGCTGCCGCTTACTGCTGACTGCTCTTCCCTACCTGCTGTCTACTTGCTGCTTGATTCCGTCGAGGGCAAAGTTTTTTCTTTTTCTTTTTCTTCTTCTTCCTCTTCTTCTTCTTCTTCTTCTTCTTCTTCTATCTGTCTCTCCCTCCGCGATATATGGCACTCCCTATCCCCTTCCCACCTTTTCCTTATCTTCCTTATCTCCAAACCTGGGTGTGAAGGAACGACACGCAAACCCGATGACGCAATTGAGACGAGCGTAAACACCGGGGCACGTATGGACGCCGTTCTTTCACCTGTCGTTTTGTGTCAGTCATTGAGTCGTCACGTTGGGAACTCCTTGTCTGCCTGTGGCCTCCTCGGTTCGACCTTCACACATTGGAAAAGAGAGAGAGAGAGAGAGAGGGAGAGGGATAGGGGGCGAGAGAGAGAGAGAGAGAGGGGGGGAGGAGGGGGAGAAAGAGAGGTGTGTATGTGTGACTCTGTGTGTGCTTGTATTTGTGTTTTTTCTGTCACGGAACTTGGGGTTTTGCTCTACTTTCGTTCTTCTATTTTCCCTCTTCGTCCTCTTTCTCTCTCTATCTATCTATCTTCATCCCCCTTGCTTTTAATTCACATTATTTAGCGCTCGACTGGAGTATGCTAATGAATTTGTGTAAACATTGGCGGGGCCGAGGCACAAGTAGGCCTATGTTTATGACGAATGTTTGTTGTTCTCCTTCCCCCCCACCCCCTTTCTCCCAGCCCCCCCCCCTCATCCTTTCTCTTTGATTAGCCGCTGTGTTGACTATAAGTAAACTAACGTAGGAGAGAGAGAGAGAGAGAGAGAGAGAGAGAGAGAGAGAGAGAGAGAGAGAGAGAGAGTTAGAGTTAGTGTTAGAGAGAGAAACACGAATGAGCGAGAAAGAGAAGACAAAGAGAAGAGAGAAGAGAGAAAAGAGACACGATCGAGAGCCGGGAGAGGAGACACCCCCCCCCCCCCCCGTAGCACAAATCCAGGATCGTGGCTAGTACCGTACATAGAACGATTAAACCCCTTGCCAAGGACGTATCACTTAATACCTTCATGATTACAATTGCCTGAACCGTCCGTCCTGGCGCCTGGCTGGAGGTCCGGGCGCTGCTTTGTTTGTTTGTCTGTTTGTTGATTTGTGTGTGTGTGTTTGTTTGGTGGGATTCGTGGGGAAGCTTGTTGTCGAGGTTGGTGATTATCGTTTTAATAACTGCTTGATTTTTTATTTATTTTTATACTATTATAGAGCCTGAGATATAGATAGATGGTCATGTACTCACTCACTCACTCATTCTCACACACACACACACACACACACACACACACACACACACACACACACACACACACACACACACACACACACACACACACACACACACACACACGCACACACACACACGCCGTTCCTCTCTTTGTTCAATTAGTATTATTACAGATTATTAAGCTGATATCGGGAGAAAGAATAATGTCGTTGGCAATTTTTTACTCGGCGTCTGTCAGTTGCATAGACAATTAAGTGAGAATTGAAATGTCGTTGGGACCTTATTAACGATAATGATGATTACCATTATTACTAAAGAGGGGGGGGGGTGGGGGTTGTAATGAGTGCGGGGGGGGGGGGGAAATGTTAATGCTATCACGGGCCTTTGTGGTAAGTTAATACGCGGTTGTTATCGGAGAGTCCAGAATATTGGTGTTAACAAGACTAACCTTACTGGGTTTTGTCATTAAATCTTATAATATTGGTAGTGGGAGGCGGCTGTATGAGGGGGGGTGGGGGGGAACGGAGAGGGAGGGCGGCCGGAGACTGCTATAAAATCGTTTTATATCAGAGGGATTGGGTAAGGCTTCATGGTAATACTCTCTCTCACTCTGTCTGTCTGTCTGTCTGTCTCTCTGTGTCTCTGTCTCTATATCTATCTCCCCCTTCCCCCCTCTCTCTCCCTCTCCCCCTCTCCCTCTTTCTCTCTTTCTCTTCCTCTTTTACGAATCAGAATCGTGACGTCATACTGATCCGTATCAAAGCACGTTTCGTCATAAATTCGCAAGACTCGCTCCTCTCACCCTCACTGTGGGGGAGGGAGGGGGGGGAGGGATGGAGGGGAGCAGGGGGGGTATGGGAAGATGGGAATCCAACCTCTATGACAACAGGCCATAACGCCCACAGTGGCCTCTTCATCAAGCTAGCGGAGGAATCCTTACATCAATCCTCTTGTGTGGGGAGGTGGGGGGGGAGGGGAGGAGGGGGGAAGGGGGTAATCCTGGTAATTGTTAATCCCGTCACCTCGACATATTAGCGCTGAAGAAGGGGAATGGGGAGGGAGGGGGGAGGGGGTTGAGAGAGATGGGGGGGAATTGAGGGTGGAGAAGCGTGAGAGGGGGGGGAGGCAGGGAGTTGGGGGAGATTGGGGAAGTGGGTATGAGTGGGTATGAGGTTGGGGATTCGGGGATGGGGGGAGTGTATTTATGGGGTAAAGGGGTAGAGGGAATAGGTAAGGGATAACACTAGTGGGGATTGGTAATTAGAGGGGGGGGGAAGGGGTGAAGGGGTTAGGGGTAGGGGGGGTGGCGCATTCGCAACGCCCCCTCCCCCTTCCCCCCCTCATACCTAGAATCCGTACACGTGTTGATGAACCCAAAGCCAGCCTGCCGAAGCCATACGATGGTCGGGGAAGTCTCAAAAGTTTCACTGTCTATCGCGTGTTTTATTTATCTATCTGTTTTATTGTATCGTTTATTATGTCAGCTTTGTTGTTGTTTCGCTTGTCGGTGTTTTTTTTCTCTCTCTCTCTCTCTCTCTTTTCTTTTCTTTTTGTTCGAACTTTCGATTTTGTTGAAACGTGTGTTTTTACTTTTATTTATTTATTTATTTTTCTCTTACCATTAATGTTTGCTACAAATTTCGATTGTTTTACGGAGGGAAAGCGAGGAATGAGGAGACGAGGAGAATTGAACGACATGGAATTAAGGGAGATAATAAAAAAATACAGAAAGGGCCACTACATGTTATTTACGAAACCTAAAACTTCCAACTTTTTTTTCTCTCTCTCTCCCTTTTTTTTTTCCTTTCCAACTCATCCCCCAACTCACTACTTCCCATTCCCTTACCTCCCCCTCATTCCCACCCGCTTCCCCTACCTCCCCTCTCTTGCTGCCCTCCCCCCCCCTTCACTCCTCTCCCCCTTTCCGCTTCCTACCCGGCCCTCCGTCTCCCCTCCCCCCCTCCTGCTACCCACTCCCTTCCCTCCCCCCCCCTCCCCTCGTGTCTTAATGAGCGCAGATGGCCGAGCTTAAGCTGGCGCACAGAGCGAGCTCACGTAATGTCATTTAGGTCATTAGGCGGTCTAGGAAGTGACCAGAAGCCCACTGTGTCATCATCCATCCTGCTAGTTCTGTGGACGGCGCTGCAGGCGGGAGTTGCGCGCCGTCGACGTACACGCACACGCACCTACACACGCGCGCGCGTATTTTCCGATTGTTTGAATCTTTTTTTTTCCGAAAGGGATATTATATATTTTTACGTGGGGAAACGTGTCTGTTGGTGGATGCGTTATATGGAGGGAGGGAAGGTTGTGCAGTGTTGAGGAATGTGTTGTTGTTTTTTTCATTGTTAAATCGTGATTTGAAATCTTGGTTGCTGTTGCTATCAAATGCAATCGAGCAGATTTAGAACACTGTGAATAGAAAAACCAGTGGAATAAACTCACTTGCACGACGCCGAGCGAAGCCGATCAACATGAGAGTGAAAACTATTGCTCGTCGCTACATGACGGAAGGTGACCACTGCGATGTCTCGGTCTCGCGGGCGGCCTTGTGTTGGCTCTTGCGCTCTTAGTGTCACGGAATATTTGCTTGCGTAGTGTTTCTGTGTTACTTAGTTGTATTATATGAGATTAGGTTTTATTTTCGTTTTTTTTTTTTTTTTTTTTTTTTTTTTTTTTTTTTTTTTTTTTCAATTCTGATTTCTTTCTCTTTTGTTCGAGTTAGCCTTTTCCTTGCATGAACTGTGGCCCTTTCCGCTTCCTACCCGGCCCTCCGTCTCCCCCCCCCCTCCTGCTACCCACTCCCTTCCCTCCCCCCCCCTCACTCCTCTCCCCCTTTCCGCTTCCTACCCGGCCCTCCGTCTCCCCCCCCCCTCCTGCTACCCACTCCCTTCCCTCCCCCCCCCTCACTCCTCTCCCCCTTTCCGCTTCCTACCCGGCCCTCCGTCTCCCCCCCCCCTCCTGCTACCCACTCCCTTCCCTCCCCCCCCCTCACTCCTCTCCCCCTTTCCGCTTCCTACCCGGCCCTCCGTCTCCCCCCCCCCTCCTGCTACCCACTCCCTTCCCTCCCCCCCCCTCACTCCTCTCCCCCTTTCCGCTTCCTACCCGGCCCTCCGTCTCCCCCCCCCCTCCTGCTACCCACTCCCTTCCCTCCCCCCCCCTCACTCCTCTCCCCCTTTCCGCTTCCTACCCGGCCCTCCGTCTCCCCCCCCCCTCCTGCTACCCACTCCCTTCCCTCCCCCCCCCTCACATTCTGATTTCTTTCTCTTTTGTTCGAGTTAGCCTTTTCCTTGCATGAACTGTGGCCGCATACAAGCTGTTACTGACTTTGAATTTTTTTCTTGCGTTGCAGAGGAAACCAAGGAAGAAGGTCGTTCGCCCGACCACGTGCATGCCTGTCCCTTCTGCCACTTCACGTGCGAGCTGGAGTCTAGCCTGCAGCAGCACGTGGACAGTGAGCACGGCGGGGAGAAGAAGGCAGGGCTGAGGTGTCCCCTGTGCGAGGAGGCGTGCCCAGACATGCCCTCCCTCGAGAAACATGCCATCAATGTTCACTCGGTCAACTCCGAGGGCCTTCAGAGGCTCATGCTGCTGGTTAGACTTAGCGCCGCGGCGGGCAAGGAGGCCGAGGAAGAGGATCACTCGCAGCAGCACCACCAACAGCAGCCGCCGCCGCCGCCGCCGCAAGCCGAACAGATGCATCAGGAACAGCATCTCCGTCTGCCCGGGAAGGCGGAGGAGAGCCAGCCATCAGGTGGAGCAGGTAAGCGAGGTGATGAGCGGAGCGTGGGCCGGGAGCAGGAGGAGTGTGGTGTGTGTGGGCTGGCGTGCGCCTCGGTGGAGGACCTGGTGGCGCACCAGGCGGCCGTGGGACACACGCCGCTGACGGAGACGCCGCGGGGGCCAGGATATCTGTGCTGGAAGAAGGGTTGTAACCAGTACTTCCCTTCGGCGCAGGCGCTGCACAGTCACTTCCGGGAGATTCATGGCGCGGCGCCCAGGCCGTCGATCGCCGTGTCAGAGAGGCACGTGTACAAGTACCGCTGCCAGCAGTGTTCTCTCGCCTTCAAAACAGTGGAGAAGCTGCAGCTGCACTCTCAGTACCATGCGATTCGGGATGCCACCAAGTGTCTGTTGTGTCACCGCAACTTCCGCTCGCTGACGGCTTTACAAAAACATGTCAGCTCTGACCACCCTGAGCTTTCGGCGGCGGAACGACACCAGTTCCAGGCATCCATCGTGGGGGCGCCGGTGGGCGCGGGGGCGGGGCCCGTCCTCGACCCCAGCACCACCGCGCTACTCCGAATGGAGTCTAATAAGGACGACGAGCCTGAGGAACTGCCTCGTGTCGATGAGCCTCCGCTGCCTCCACAACAGCAGGCCATCGAGGACTACCTCAACTCTGACACGATGGCTCTCGATAACTACAGCGACCCGGCGCGACGCTTCAAGTGTCACCGCTGCCGGGTCGCCTACACGCGCCAGACTTATCTCTCGGCTCACCAAAAGACGTTGCTCCATCGCAGGGGAGAGAAACTCACCTACCCGATGGAGAAATATCTTGACCCCAACAGACCATACAAATGTGATGTTTGCAAAGAGTCATTCACGCAGAAAAACATTCTGCTTGTACATTACAATTCAGTCAGTCATTTGCATAAGCTTAAAAAAGCCATGCAGGACAAAGAGACCAAAGGATCTCCGAGCAGCTATCAGACCCAGTCTGAAGGGAGCGGCGTGGAGGCCGCCGGGGCCGCTCCCCCGGGTGACGGCTTAGCCAGCGCCTCCAGGGGTGCCGGGGGGGCGGGGGGCGGGGGTGAGGAGGAGGAGCGCAACAAGCCATACAGGTGCCACGTGTGCCGAGTGGCGTACTCACAGCAGTCTACCCTGGACATTCACCTGCGCTCAGTTCTCCACCAGACGCGCGCCGCCCGACTCCCAGACTTTCTGGCCACCCACGCCCACCCAGACCCCTCGCGCCCACTAGTCGACCATCCGCCCACACCCACCAGTACCCCGCAGCCCTCCCCCGCCCCACACCATGACGCACACACTCCTCGCTCCCCCTCAACCCCTCAGGCTACCCCTCCAGGGGGGCATTATCAGGGCATTTCCCCCTCTAATAGCAGCAGCGGCAGCGCCCAGGGAAGCTGCGATCGGTGTGGTGGCGTGTGGAGCACCCCGGAGCAGGGAGCGCAACATGCAGTGTTGTGCGGGCTCATACCCCCTCACCTGGCCTTCCTCCCGCACGCCGTCAGCACCGGTGTCAGTCAGCCTGCCACCCTGGACGCTGCCTGGGCCTCCCTCTGCGGGGCCACCGCCGCCGCCCACCTGCCCCCGACTCAGCCCCCCGACCGCTCTCTCTCTCCATCTGAATGTTCCATAGAATCTCTCTCTACCTCTAGATTCACTGTACCTTTCAGAAAGTCTTCACGCCTACACAAGCACTTATTAGAAAGCTTTGGCTTTGACCTAGTTGTTCAGTATGTTGAAAATCAACAATCTTGTCCATCAAAAGAACCCGAGCAGGGGACTTCTGAGGACTCTAAAGACAGATCCAATCCTGATCTACCAGAACTTAGTAAATCTAAATGTCCTCAGTGTTCTAAACAATTTTCTAGTGTATGGGTTTTAAAAGCCCACTTAGAAGAAATTCATAAATCAGGTGTACCTTTTGATTACCTTAAGACCTTCTCAGATGAGTACCGTAAAGAGTACAATACTAGTCGGCAATGCTCTAGCAGCGATCCCTCTGCTCTTACAGATGAGGAGCGAGTCCGGGACGCGGAGCTCATCCAGGGGGGAGACAAGGGGACTTCAGATGAGAGAGAGAAAGAGGCAGAGTCAGGCAGCAGGAGCGACGCCGCGGCCACGCCCACGCCCACCTCTCGTGCCACGCCCACACCCGGTGTCACGCCCACCTCCATCTCTGCCGCCTCCATCTCCCCCGCCGCTGACCAGCAGGGTATGAATATGCCGTCGCAGATGGTCGAGATGGCCGCGGCGCTCAATGCCCTGACGGCGGCGCAGATGCAACAGATGCAGTTCAACCCCATGATGATGGCTGGGCTTGGGCTGGCGGGGCTGCCCCTCCAGCTCAATCCCCTGGCGGCCATGAACCTCCATCCGCCCCTCATGCCCATGATGCCGCCCCACATGTTTGATCCGGGCGCCCTGGCCAACATGCAGCAGCAGACACCACCCACTTCGCTGCCTTCTAACCTGCCCAATGATGCATCCATGTTCCTCAAGCAGCAGCAGCAGCAGCTCTTGCAGCAACAGCAAGCCGCTGCTGCCGCCGTTGCAGCACAGCAGAAGAGGGCTCGCACACGCATCACCGACGAGCAGCTGAAAATACTGAGAGCTCACTTCGACATCAACAATTCCCCGACGGAAGAGCAGATCAACGAGATGGCCAAGCAGAGCGGACTACCTCCCAAGGTAATTAAACATTGGTTCCGTAACACGCTGTTCAAAGAGCGACAACGCAGTAAAGACTCGCCCTATAATTTTAGCATCCCTCCGTCCACCACACTTAACCTGGAGGAGTATGAGAAGACAGGTGAAGCCAAGGTCATGCCACTCAACCCGGACGAGGCACGGGAGATTGTGGCGCTCAACAGCTCCCGTGAGGAGGACAAGATGACCGAGCGGTTTTCCAAAGAGCAGGAAGAATCCGCACACGACCGCGCCGCCACCGCATCCCCGCTCAACAAAGTTCCTAGTCTTACACAAGACAATAGCCGAGTACAAGAAAAGAACGGGGAAGGTATAGGCGGGTCAGGCCTCAGTGCCCAGCATCACCAGTTACGGGAGCAACAACAGCTGCGAGAGCAACAGCAACTACGAGAGCAGCAACGGGAGCGGGAACAGCAGCAGCAACGGGAGAGGGAGCAGCAGCAGCAACAGCAGCCACCCTTGTCACAACCCCTGCTGCCCCCGCAGCCCCAGCAGCAGCCACTAGGCAGTGGACCCCAGCTGGTGTCCTCGGCTTCCTCGTCGCCGTTGGGCCTGCCGGTGACCTCGTCGTTCAGCTCTCTGGCCTCACCACAGACGTCACTCTCGCTCAGCTCACTCATTACCTCCCAGCTCGAGTCTAACCCCATGCTGGCTCACAAGCTGCCTCACACACCACCCACAGTTCCTAGTTCTGGCCTTATTCCTCCAAGCTCAGGTGTGAGCCCCACGCCTCCGCATTTGTCCTTCCCGTCAGCCCCCCAGACTCCCACCTCTTCCGGCACTGGCAAGCGAGCTAACCGCACCCGCTTCACTGACTACCAGATTAAGGTGCTACAGGAGTTCTTCGAGAACAACGCCTATCCCAAGGATGACGATCTGGAGTACTTGTCCAAGCTGCTCAGCCTGTCACCTCGCGTCATTGTGGTGTGGTTCCAAAACGCCCGACAGAAGGCACGCAAGGTCTACGAGAACCAGCCACCCCTTGACCCTAATGACGAAGGTGCAGGTAGGTTCACCCGGACGCCGGGCCTAAATTACCAGTGTAAGAAGTGCTTGCTTGTCTTCCAGAGGTATTATGAGTTAATCAGACACCAGAAGACTCACTGCTTCAAGGAAGAAGACGCCAAGCGATCCGCTCAGGCGCAAGCAGCAGCGGCCCAGGCGGCAGCTATGTACAGCGATGAGAACTCTAATCACTCAAGCATCACAGAATCGTCGCAGCAGTCAGGTAGCCTCGATAATAAACCTTCAGAAGGATCTTTCCAGTGTGATAAGTGCAGTCTGGTATTTAACAGATTCGAGCAGTGGCGTGAGCACCAAATAGTTCACCTCATGAACCCTGCACTGTTCCTGAACAAAGGTGCAGATTCCCCATTCACCAGCATACAGCAACAGCAGCAGAGTCAGACATCGCAGCAGCACCAGCTCCCCTCAGGTGCTCCCCTTCCCATACCACAGGCTAGTCCCCTGCCCCAGCCCAGCCCCCTATTGCCACCGGCTTCCCCTCTGAAGCGCAAAGCTGAAGAGAGCGAGGACGAGAGGGATGGCATGACAAGCAACAACGAGGGGCAGAGGGATAAGAGACTCCGCACTACCATCCTCCCAGAGCAGCTGGACTACCTCTACCAGAAGTACCAGATGGAAGCCAACCCGTCGCGGAAGATGTTAGAGACCATCGCTCAAGAAGTTGGTCTGAAGAAGAGGGTCGTCCAAGTTTGGTTCCAGAACACACGAGCACGAGAGAGAAAAGGTCAGTTTAGAGCTCATGCACAAGTGATTAATAAAAAATGCCCCTTCTGTCCTGCTATCTTTAAAGTCAAGTCTGCTCTTGAATCGCACCTTTCCACTAAGCACGCGGATCAGTACTCTAAGGGAGATGTGGACATTGATGCACTGCCTGATGTAGAAGATTCTGGTGTTGGGAACTTCGGCCTGTCTTCAACTCCTTCGGCAACTCAAGCCTCTCAAGTCATGCCCTCTTCTCTCTTCTCCTCAGAAGTTCCGGAAGACTCGATAGCCATGTACCACGAGGAGGCAATCCGGCGGTACCTCAACGATGTCAACTTGGCATCGGACGGTACACGACGGGAAGGTGAGAGCCCGCTAGATCTCAGTAAGCCATTAGACCTGGTTCGGCCGTTAGGGTTTGATTCCTCCATGTTAGACACTAACGAGCACCTTGAGGAGCATTCAGATGAAGAGAATTACAATCTGGATATATGTGAACAAGAGGAGGTTGCAGATGTCATCAATCCAGGTGAAGGTCATGAAAAGTGTGTTCCAGGAGTATAAAACGCCAACGATGGCGGAGTGTGAGTTGCTAGGGAGGGAGATTGGGCTAGCCAAGCGTGTGGTGCAGGTTTGGTTCCAGAACACACGAGCACGAGAGAGAAAAGGTCAGTTTAGAGCTCATGCACAAGTGATTAATAAAAAATGCCCCTTCTGTCCTGCTATCTTTAAAGTCAAGTCTGCTCTTGAATCGCACCTTTCCACTAAGCACGCGGATCAGTACTCTAAGGGAGATGTGGACATTGATGCACTGCCTGATGTAGAAGATTCTGGTGTTGGGAACTTCGGCCTGTCTTCAACTCCTTCGGCAACTCAAGCCTCTCAAGTCATGCCCTCTTCTCTCTTCTCCTCAGAAGTTCCGGAAGACTCGATAGCCATGTACCACGAGGAGGCAATCCGGCGGTACCTCAACGATGTCAACTTGGCATCGGACGGTACACGACGGGAAGGTGAGAGCCCGCTAGATCTCAGTAAGCCATTAGACCTGGTTCGGCCGTTAGGGTTTGATTCCTCCATGTTAGACACTAACGAGCACCTTGAGGAGCATTCAGATGAAGAGAATTACAATCTGGATATATGTGAACAAGAGGAGGGTGACATGGCGGTCAATTCTCATGAAAGTAACCCTACCTCTCCCGCCTCCTCCACCACCAGCTCCGCCAACAAGGTGGGATCTCACCAGAGCGGCACCAACAAGAGGTTCCGCACACAGATGTCATCAATCCAGGTGAAGGTCATGAAAAGTGTGTTCCAGGAGTATAAAACGCCAACGATGGCGGAGTGTGAGTTGCTAGGGAGGGAGATTGGGCTAGCCAAGCGTGTGGTGCAGGTGTGGTTCCAGAATGCGCGGGCAAAGGAAAAGAAAGCAAAGCTGGCTCTGCAGAAGATGCTCGGCACAGAGCCCGAGGGACCTAAGCCGCCTGAGGAGTGCAAAGTGTGTAACTTTAAATACAGTCACAAGTACTCTGTTCAGGACCACTTGTTTACGCGTTCACATATCGAAAACATGAAATCGTTCCTGGAAAAGGCGAAGGAGGAGAGCGACGTGGCTGGCCTGGGCTCTACTCTGAGCTCCATGTCATCCGACGGCGACCGGCCGCCCGCGGCTCTCACGCCCGTGGCCGGCCTCGCTCACCAGCTGCAGATGGCTCAGCTCATGGCTCTGGGCTCGCCGCCAGCTGGTGCAGGGACCCCTGCCGGTGAGGACAAGAAGGGCGGCCCAGGCGGAAGCAGCAACAGCGAGGACCTGAGTCGCCTGCAACTCCTGCAGCAGATGTACCAGCAGATGGGTCTCGGGGGGCTGCAAGGGGCGCCGCACCCACTCCTTCAGCACGCCATGATGGCCGGCGCCGGTGAGTAGCGGTCCCCCTCCCTCCATCACTGTCCGCACCCGCTCGCCCGTCCCGCCCGCACACCACCCAGCGCCGCCCGCACGCTCCCCCGCCCTCCCCCGCCCGCCTCGGCCAGGCTTGCCCCGGGGACCCAGCTGCACACCTGCCCTCGCGCTCACTCACCCGGGCGAGGGCTCCGGTTCCCGCACCCGAGGGGGAGTGAGGTGAGGCAGGGGCGGGGCACGCCTGGCCGCGGGGGGCGTCAGTGTACTTGGCCCTGTCACGCTTTTCCCCTCCCTGGCGGGCTCACGCTTGCAGGAGCTGCTGCTGGCTGGCCCCACCCACCCTGTGTTCACTCTCGCTTGTCCGGACCCGCTCTGTGAACTCCTGTGTCTGTGTCAAGTCCGAAGTCGTGTCCGCGGGTCGGGACGTGGACGTCATACCCGATTGTGGAAAGACTAAGACTATTGCTTAATGTGTTGATGTTTACTGATGGCATTTTTGCAAAGTTACGAAAGTTCCAGATATCAGGCCTTACTCTAAGTTTGAGGCCTTAAAAGCTTCACTAGAGCTGGTTTTATGTAATTTTTGTGTAATCCTCTAGTGCTCTAGGACTCTAGAACTGCGTCACGTTACTGGTAGATCATAGAGTATAAAGCCTATTAATGGTGAAACACTGTAATACCTCGCATCAAAGCATATGGATTGAATGTAATCTTTAACAAAAAGAAAAGAAAGATTTGTCATGCACCAGAATTACGCTGTATACTAACTTGCTAGTTAATGTTCCTACCACTTTTTACGATAATCACGTAATGAATGTTTCAGAACGTATAATTATTATTTTCATTGATTTAGCATATTATTATTATTATTATTATTATAAATCCCCTCCCCTCAAAACAATCAGTAGCAGATTTCTTTCAAAGAAGAATCGGTTACTTAACTACAGTTGATATCAAAAAGAAGACTGTAAAAAAAAAAGTATAAGATAAAAAATTATTAGCTTTTACATTAGTACAGCTTTTAGAAATGGTATTTAGGCTATAGCTTGCTGCCTCCTTTCCCGATTAAGCCGCAAGTAACCCGCGCCTCACCCGGCCTCGATTCCCAGTTGCCACTTCAGGGCTCTCCTCAACTTCGACGCCCACCATCTATCCACAAACTAAATTTTTTTAGAGTACAAGTTATGTATATGTATGTGTGTGCATATATATACATGTATAATTCCATATGGATATATATAATATATATGTATGTGTATATATATATATATATATATATATATATATATATATATATATATATATATATATATACATGATATGTGTCTATCCACAAGTTGAGTGACACTATTTTCTCCCTTGATTAGTGACTGTGAATAAGGGCCAACGAGGTGTAGAAATCTCTTTGTATCTACCACAAGTAACAGGTTCCTGAGAACATAAAGCCGATAATCACGAGTGAATTCATACAAAGCTTGACCATAGATTCCTCACCAGTCTTCCACATCCAGCCGACCCAACTGAAGGTGTAAAAGAGTTTTCAAAAAAAGCAATTTTTTTTGGAGACCGCTAATACCTAACTAAATATAGACAGATAATAATAATAACCGGATCCAAGTATAATACATTCTGCACATTCAAAACAAAATCGCAGTCGTATCACTGAAACTGATGAAAAAAATAAATACAAAACTAAAAAAAAAAACAAAAAAACAAGCATTCTGGATCCTGCAGTAGTTGTAAAATGCAAACAGCAACTTAAAAAAAAAGGCGTTTGATGTTACCCAAACTACTGTATGTACCGTACATTTAACTCCAAGAGAGAGAAAAAAAGTTTCCTTGGCTGTTAAATGTGAAGTTGTGAATACTGGGTTGTAGTGTCCGTTAATCCCCCCCCCCCCCAGTCCCTCTTTTTAAGGTATGTCGTTAAATGGTACGATTTTGGTGTTCTGTAACGAGGCACACAAGTGTTGGCATGTATGTAAGCAGCCCCCTCATAAGGAGATGATTAAGTCCTTTTAAACCGCACAGTCGCTAGGGAACCCGTGTCTCAAGAGCTCATGAGGTATCGCTGACTTATGAGACTTCATCACGTAAGGTTTCAGAAGAATATATATATATACATATATATGTAATCAGTCATCACCTGCAAATAATGTAATTCAGAAAAAAAATGAAGCTCGCACCCACGAAGCTCTCGTTTGTTTGTTTGTTTCCACGCGCGGACCAAACGTACATTACAACCCGGCCACTGAAGCTCCCCCGTACTCTACCTCGCACATATTTTGCCGAACGAAGCAACAAGTCACGAAGAGAGATTGAGAGCCCTCACTCTAGTGCCGCCCGTCAAACCCTTAATTTTCATTCTTTTTTTTATTGTCTTTTTTTTATTCTTTTCATCTCGATAAGGGTAAGTAAAACCAGCCATACATCGGCTTGGTTTTAGGGCTGGCTCAGGGCTGGCTCCTCTTGTGGCTGCAAGATTATGTGGCCAAATTAACAACTTTGAGCCTTACGTACTCTTGCTTGACGCGGTGTGCCTTTCCATTGCACTTGAGGGAAATGACACCGCTCCCCCCCCCCTCCCCCCCTACTACCTGGACCTGGCTCAGCTCACGCCAGGTTCGGGATTCAACATCAAAAAGAAATAAAAGAGGAATTAGCTTTTGACGAAGGTCTAAATTGTTAACTTTGCCACATGTAATTGTACGTGTAAGTGTGTTTGTATGTTTGTATTATTCCTACGTCTATCACACAGTTCCACAGGGCCTCCGCATGCGTGGCCCTCGACTTCAATGTTGTCCCTTGCAGACCACACTGATATCAATCTTGCAGTATACCGGGTGACATCATTTCCATTCTCTACTAGATAGGTTTTCGCTCGGCGTGTCCAAAGCTAGTGAGAGACTTTTGTTTTAAGAGTACTACACGAGCTGGTTTGCTTTCAGGTTGATTTCTTGAACTCACAAGTATTTGGCTGTTTTATTTTTATATCACCTTTTGCGGTTAAAAACCGATGTGTGGATTTTTTGGTGCTTGAGAAATACGATATAAGAAATCCATACTGACTCACAGCTTAGGAGTTGGGGTGTTTCGCCAGTTTCGGACACGCCGGAGCGGAATTCGGCATTAGTTAAGTAAATTATTAGGTTTCAAGGTTCTTCAACAACGGCCGTTCTGCCGCTCCGTCGCGAGTCGGGGAACAAGAAGGTTCAATTGTAAGTCCTTGGAACTAGTGTGTTCCTTCAGTCGCAGTTCTAAATAAGAC